TTTAGTAATTCATTCAAAATTAATAAATTTATCTATTTATTTAGTAATTAAGGGACGCTAGCCCTCTGTTACAACAAAGAAAAAAGGAGAATTTTAGGTATTAGACGGGCGTATGTGTACGCTCTTCGTAAAAGCGTGACCATTTTTACAGAGCGTAAAAGTAACGGAGGATAAACATTTAATTTTGTTCCTGGACTAATTTGAAATAAATGACTTAAAATTGATCAAATTAAAGATGGAGGTAATAATCAAAATTTAATATTATTTATTTCAGGAAATGCTATATGTATACGTTCTTCGTGGCGAAAGAGTTAAATAGTATCGAACAAAAATAAATACCTGCCTGCTCCATGTAAAATACCAAATTCTGTTATAACTTACAACTATTTATACAAAAATTCCATAATTTTGCAATTACGATTTACTGGTTTATTTTCTTTTCAAAGTAAATATGAAAAATTTTGGAGACGAGTAAACACTTTTTAATTAAAAATCAGTCGAAACTGTTCTTAAACGCGTGATAAAGATTTCAAAACACGAGAAAGAAAGCTCGTACGTGTAAAACTTATTGCTTCGCAAATTGCCGCTCTGCGTGACGCGAAATTCCGCAACATATTATCGGAGGTTCCGGTCGTTTCATCACGGAGAACCGCGCCTTAAGGCAGCTTAAATACCCGGCAGCTACTAATTATATTTGACTTTTTAAGTGACCCTCGCCCAACGTTATTATTTACTTTGCCCAATTTACGGATACGAGCGGCGTTAAAGCGTGGAAAACACGTCGGTCGCGATGTCTCGCGCCGGCACAACTTCCCCGCTGCTTCTTCACGCGGAGAATAATGGATAGGGAATTGACTCTCGATAAAACGGGATTTATCACGGCGTATTGAGTTTCGATGAAAAGCCGGGGGGACGGGGGATGAAGGATCGCCGCGCAAATGGGATAGCATAACTTCCGCGGGTAATCGAATTGATGTGTACACACTAATTAATATTGAGGAAATTGGCTGTCGCGCGTTCTGTGTAATTGAAATGATGAAATATTAAGACTGGAGTGATTAAAATGGGGCAAATTCTCCGTTCAAAAAATTGTCAATTAAAAGCGTGCTTTTTTACATGACGTAAATAATTAAAATTAGAATAATTGAAAAAATTTGCAAATTAAAAGTGTACTTTCCTGCATGCCATAAGTAATTAAAATGGTGCAAAACCTGATTGAAAAAATTTGTAAATTAGAAATGTGCTTTTTTACATGAAATAAAAAATTAAAATGGTGCAAATCCTCATTGAAGAAATCTGTAAATTAGAAGTTTACATGAAATAAAAAATTAAAATGGTGCAAATCTTCGTTGGAAAAATTTGTAAATTAAAAGTGTGCTTTTTCACATGAAATAAAAAATTGAAATGGTGCAAATTCTCGTTCAAAAATCTGTAAATTAGAAGTGTGCTTTTCTACATGACATAAATAATTACCTTTAAGTAGTATTACATTAATATCAAGAGTACATTTGATAGTCTCCTCTTTTACAAATTTCTACCACTAGAATTATTCAATTTTATTTAAAATATTTAACTAGTCTACTATACCACAATAACACAACTACAATATTACATGCAACAGTATAATCATTTAAATACAGTTTTTCTTTTTAATCATTTATAAGCGATTCTTGCGAAGAAGCGTGATTTTCTTCGGAAGCAAGATTCGGTATCACTATATGCAACTTCCGCCGTCCAGGAGGAGACCACATCGGCGTTCTTCCTTTAACTTCATTTTTCGATTCTTCGTCTGATATCAACAATTCCTTTGCACTGCCCAACGTACAAGATAAAAGATCCACAGTCGTCTGGTTACTATCTTGCTCCCTCGTGTTCTTCAACTTAGGCAACCGCCTTTGAAACATCTTATTCTCTTCCCTCTTGAAACTTTCACCATTTCGTTCTCCACTCAATTTATAATTTTTCACTATCATTCTCTCCCCCTCCTCGAAAGAATCTCGTTTCAAACGTGGCAATCTCCTCTTGACGGGACTCCATTTTTGTTCACCCTCGTGTTGCGATCTTCCTGGAAGATCCTCCTCGAAACTGTTGCTCTGCGCTCTCCCAGACAAATCCAACCACTGGAGAACCCTCTCGAACAACGGATTCCAAAACGTATCAGATGTTCCCTCCGCGTGTCTGCATTCTGTGATATTCAACTTGAAATCCGTCTCAGTCTCTGACGTTCTCCTCTCGTAAATGTCGTTCTTGAAAACTCGTTTGTCGATGAGGAGATCTTCTTTCACCGTGACTTTATGATTTTGCTGTTTCTTCTGAATTTTTCTATTGTCAACTAAGAAAGACTCCAACGTGCTGGTGTCAGAAGTACCGGTTAATAGTCTGGGACAAGGAGGTGCGGATAATTTACGATACATCGGGGAGAGTGTCTTAGTTTCGGAGAGATTGTTGTTAACTACCATCTGTAAATTCGTGAAACAACTGTTCAAACGATCCAGTCTAGATTCCAACTGTTGATACTCCGTCGAGTAACTTTTATTCCTCGGTGCACGAGATCGCCGACGAGATTTCGAATCGATAAATGGATCATCTGGCGATAAAATCGCGTGTCGAATACCGTCTACCCAGACAGTGCGAACGGATATCGGTCTCTCTGACGATGACCATATAGCTGGCATTGTTCTGTTGTTAATTGTTTAAACGGTGAAATTGACAAATACTTCGATTATCGATATATAAAGAAAATAGAGATATTAATGTTTTATATTTATAACATTTTAACAAAAATGACTTAACTCCTCATGTTCTATATTTGTATAATATTTTTTTATGTATAGAGAAATTTCTTTTTCCACAGGTAAATCTTGACTGTTTGCAATTTTTTTGTAGATACAACACCGTGTGTCGGAATTCTTGTTCGACTGAATTCCGATGTATTGACTCCCGACTGAACAGGAGGACAAACACAGGGTTCCCACTGTTCTCGCGACACGCGATCCAAACTACGATGACTGTGACCATAGCGCAGCTACGAACAGTTTATATAGGAAGGAAACCAGCATCGGAAGGGAGAGCCGAATGGAGGGGTTTGTGCGACCTCCGCACCCCATGCCTAACGATACGCCGCTATATAAATCAGGTAAAACTTCAGCAAATTGCACGCGCCACAGTCTCCTCCGAGTCGCGCCAGTAATTACTGAGCGTTGTCACATAAAACTTATAACTTATAGGCTTGTATATAAATCTTGGAATTGCCGGTGAATAGTACATACAAATAAACTTAATTAAAGTTTCGTTGAGAAATAATAATATTTCTCGAGTATATGGGAACTTTATTGTATTATATATAAAAGAATCAATTATGTTATTCACCATTTTTATCAGAATATTATAAAGTTCTGTTATGAATTTTAACTTTTTAATATTTTTTGATTTATTATTAAACAATGGAATGTTTGAAACTTTAAAAAACAAAAATAAACTTGATTTATCATTTAAATATACTTACTTCATAACTTGGAGGTGGAATATGCCTTGCTTGAAATCTAGATCTAAGGGGAGGATCCAATGGATGGCCAGGATACCTTGGTGATGGCATACCCAATGCAATAACTCTAAAGTCTTCACTGACTCTAACAAGCCTCCATGCATCTAATTCCTCCTGACTGTGTGTCTAGAAAGAAACAATAATAAGTTAAATTAATTTGTGTTACTAATAGTATCAAATTAATGCAGATGTATAAATATTAATACCTCGAGTAACTTATCATAACGTGCTGCTGGAATGAGAAATCTCCCATCTTCTAAATGCATTTCACGATTTTCTAATAAATTATTCAAAATGGGAAGCACATTTCTCTCAGCTTTCTCTACACCTTCAATAATGAGAACCCTCCCATTTGTTGCAGCCTTCACAGCACTTTGATCATGATAATAAGCAGTACCACTTTGTATTTCCCTTCGTTGTTTTAAGTCTGCTTCAGTTGTATCCCTTGAAAGTGCAATATATTCTACCTCACGGTCTGTGAGTTCCAGATATGAAAGAGCTAATTTTCTACGTCTGGTTCCAGGACCACCAATTAAAAAAATATCTTGAGATAAAACATCCTTTTGAAGCATCCATTTTAAATGCTTTAATGTAGATATATTTCCCTCTTGAGTAGATGTGTTTAATACTATGTCAATAAAAGTGATTGTTACATTACTTTTCCAAAAACAAAAGAAGTGATACAAAGCAAGTCTGTTTAACTTACAGTATTTTCTAGGCACATACTCAAATCTTTGTGGTACTTTCACTTGTTTTGAAACATCTCCAATGGCAACAACTGCATTATCTATAATAAAGACGTGATAATTAAATTTCCGAAATATTTTGCTGATAATATCAACATATAAGCTTTAGAAACAACGAATCTTCGTTTATTTTACCTGATTTGTAACGTAGGAACATTGAAAGGTTAGGATAAAATGCTTTAGGATTTATTAAAACTCTAGACGTAATTGACATGCGACGAAAGTTAGAGGAAATGTATGACATTATGCTATTTTAACAGAATTTTTATTACAAGTCATTAAAAACTACGTATTTCCTAAGAAATACATTAACATATTATGTACTTCCGTGAGACGGACTATTATGATTCATTGAAATAGACATCACTATGATCAATGTTCAATGTCATTTAAAATAAAAAGAAAGGTATTCTATAATATTACATTATCATTACATTTATTATTATAAAGTACATTTAAAGCAAAAAGGTAATTTAAATATTTTCGTACACTACTAATGTAAGGTTATACATACATTGCATTATATAAAATACGATTGATAAAATTACATCAATGAAAATAGTAAAAAGAAGTATTTAAAAAGTTCAATTTATTTATAGTTAAGTACATTTCAACTATCGTACAATTGTAATTTAAAAACTGTTTTATAAATAGCTTCACAAATTAAATCATTATATAGAAAATAAACAGTCTTTTTGTAGTTTTATTTCCAGAATGTTTTAAATACAAATAAACTTTGTACTTTATAACAAACATTTGTAAGCATTAATTTTTAAATAAAAAGCATTTATTGCATAAAATAGACATGCTATAAATTATTAAAATGATCATAGCAGTTGATACTTTAAAAGTCCTGATAAATTGTACCTATAATAATGGTAAAAATATTAGAAAGCACTTTATTCTTTTGCTTAAATTTATGTTATCAGTTTGCTTACAAATTGGTATTTTCCTTAAGTGCATATATTCTCTATAATAAATCATAACATTAAGTACTTTATGCACAATATAGAATGTAAATAAATTACTCAAGATTAATACAGTGTATCACATTTGTGAAAAGGTACAAAGATCTACTCTGATTCCTACATGTCATTTATTCTATACTACTTAGGCAGTAAACTGGAAATGTGAAGCAATCTCAGAAAACGAGCACCTTTGTAACAAACTAGATTTCATAATAAGCCATGGAGTTATATATTTGGTTATCTAACATTATTTGACGTTATTCAGCAATGTTGTGTAACATAATTTATGTAGCTAAATGTATTTGTACATTTTACAAATAAAAATGGTATATGCTTGATATTGGTTTCGAGCGATCGGAAGTATAAGAGACTCTTTTTTTTTATTTTTTAAACAAAGAAAAAGTTGATTGACTTGAGAAATTTTATTCATACTGAGTAGACATTTTAATGCAACTATGATTATCCTATAATCACCGGGAATTCGTTTCTTTTACCCTGTCTATTTCAAAAGCAACCTATTCAAATTTCGAGAAATTTATTTAGATACAGGAATATCGTTACATTTTAGCAACGAGTCACACATAGGAACCAAGAGAATGAAATATCTCTTATAGATTATACTTAATAAAATATTCTTCTTCCTTTCGAATTTAAAAACTCCTCTATAAAAAGAGAAAATAAATTTTACGTTAACATACGGGTATAAATACGATAGGGATATATTTTAATTCAGCAGAAAAATTTAGGAAATTACCTCTACAAAGTCGTCTGTTCTCCTAGCATTGGCAGGATAATAGTCAACAATTAAAGGGCGTGGTCTTTGACCAATTCCAGACGGCTGTTGTAAGCCACATGCTTGTTCTTCATTTGTAATTACATTGACTAAGGTACTCAGTACTTTTTCATCTAATTGTGACATAGCTTTGTTTGGTGTTTTCATACGTCTCAAGAATAAAGCATTCCATTTTTGTCTTAAATGTAAGAAAAATCGGGCAGTTTCTGGATCAAGCTTAAATACTACCCAATCATCGAGCTTAAAAATCGTTCCTTCATTACTTTCATCAACTTCAGAATCAGATTCACTTTCTGGTACAGCTGCAAATGAAAAATAACATTCCAATATTTAAATAAAATACATGACATATTAAGTAGCACTATAGCGCTTACATTCAGCCTCATAAATTACGTCTACAGATAATCTTGCTGGCCCACAGAACAAAGCCACTGTTAATGGATTAACTAAAGTAACCATTTTAACGTGACAGAATCGTCCTGTACGACTCATTTCTTCATAAAGTAACCAATCACAAGGTAAAGTTTCTACATTGGCTGCATATGTTTGAGTGGATATCATTCTTGCTGATTTAGGATAATCTCTTAAGGTTGATGATGGATGGAAAAATACTTTCACTTCTTTCCTACAAAATTAATCATCAAGTACATAAAAAAAAATTAATATTGCTCGAAAATTAGTTTAAAAATAAAAAAGCAACATACTGCGTTCTTAGTTGCAAGTGCTCTCTATCTACTCTTATTAGATTTGGATATAAACCAGCAGTCAAAGCAGCTTTCACTACAGCCCAGTTTTCAGAATTAGAATTCAAATCTCTAATATCTCCTGGTCCCCTTGCCCTAACAAACCCAGAAGCACGAAGTTGACCAAGAAGTTGAGTACGCATTCCAACTACCATCTCCATCACAGCAGCAGAAATAAAATTTTGTTCGCAAAACGCGCGTTCTTTACCGCTTGCACGTGCATTCTGCCAACCTTGGAAAGCACGTAAAACTACCATGTGATCAGAATACGTATTGGTAGCAAACCTCTTACGAGCCGCGGTTGCAGCTCTTTTCTGTGATGGTTGAAAAGGTAGAACAAAAGGGTCCCTGAAAGTTAGTTTTTCATACAATAATGTTTTCTTTGATATGATATAAATTTGATAAATTATTGGCTTCTACTCACTTGTATGCTAAACTGCATACAATAGTTAGGACTGGATCTAAACATTTCAAAACAACAGCATACAGTAACATTTTCCCAAGTCGTGGCTCAATTGGTAAATCAAGTAAATGACTTCCTAATTCAGTGAGATCTTCCCATGGGTCTAATGCATCGATCGTTTTTAATAATTGAACTGCATTTCTTGTTACTACATTAGATGGTGGTTCCAATGCTCGATCTAAGAATTCTGCGATAGGTGTATTTCCCGGAGCTAGATGTTTTGTGTACAAGCATAGTTCTTGTAGAGGTAATCTTAAAATTTCTGGAATTTGATAGGGTTGCATGCTATTGTATCGAATTGAGGAAAATAGACGATAACAAATGCCTTTTCTACATCTTCCTGCTCGACCTTTACGCTGTTTCGCACAAGCCTGAGAAATCCAACTGGATTTAAGTGTACACACTCCTGATATTGCATCAAATGATTTTTCTTTAACTTTTCCTGAATCAATAACATATACAACATCATCAATAGTAATACTTGTTTCAGCTATATTCGTTGAAAGAATAATTTTGCGCATTCCCACAGAACTTGGTTTAAATACTTTTTTTTGATCACATGTTTGCATGTTTGAGTGAAGCACATACAAAGTGTATCTTAAACCTTGATTCATTTCTTTTTCTTCATTATTTATCTTTTCCTTCATGGTTACAATATCGTCATATCCTGGCAAAAATATTAAAACGGAACCAGGAGGCATCTTTAAATGAATATGCAGAATTAATTGCATAAGGAGATCATAGTTGATTTTGTCATCATCAAATGTATGATGATATACATCCAATAAAAGTTTATCTTCTTCTGAGAGTGAAGCATCTTTGGCATGTGTTGCTGTGTCATCTTGTACTGTACAATCATAAGTTTTCATATATGCTTCTATTAATTCAGCACATTCAGTTTGATTCATATTCCTTGCCCAATCTAATGCAGTCCATTCATTACCAGCTCGTAAATTTAAATTTGCACCTAAATTTAGAAGCTGTTCTGTAGTATTTATACATCCTCTACCTGCAGCCACCATTAGCGGAGTTACAGATGTCGTGGAATGTTGATAGTCTACAGAAACATTCTCGGAAAGTATGAAGTATAAAAGTTGGGCGAAATTATCTTCACCTCCGCGTAACCATGCCTCAGAAATACTTTTATCCATTTCTTCTATTAGCCACGGTTCTAGTTTCACCTTTTCTGGAAGAGGTTCATTTTGTTGCACCAAAATTGGAGCTGGCAATACACATCTTTCACTTATAGTATTTGATCCTGATTTTTGTGGCTTATATTGAGTCCAATTTTCTAAAACTTTACGTTGATCTTTTTTATTCATAAATTCTTTTCTTTTTGAAAGCATTTCCTTTGTCATGTATCCAGTTATTTTTAAAACGTCTTCAAGAAAATATATATCGACATCAAACAATCTACCTAAAACATTTACAACTGCGCATTTGTTGAAATATTTTGCAAAAATGTTGACATCTAATGTGGCGCTCATAAGTATAAGTTTAAGAGTTTTATGCTTTTGCAATGCATCTTTTAGTGCTATTAAAAGAATGTCGCAAAATCTATCACGTTCGTGAACTTCATCTACAATAATATGTGTGACAGTACTTAAAGCAGAATCACCTGCCATAAGAGTTCTAAGTAATACACCATTTGTGCAGTATGTTAAAAGAGTTTTTGGAGCAACTCTACTCTCAAGCCTTATTTGATAACCAAACGTTTGACCAATTTTCTCATCTCTTTCAAATGCTACTCTTTCAGCTACAGAAACAGCTGACAGTCTTCTTGGTTGAGTACAAATAATTCTACAAGGTTGATGCCTTTGTTGACAGTGTTCAAGAATAAATTGAGGAACTTGGGTAGTTTTACCACTACCTGTTTCACCTCCTATTATGACTACTGAATTAGAATTTAAAGCATCAAGAATATTTTCTCTGCAGCTATAAACTGGAAGAGCTTTGCGGTAGTTTACTACATCAAAATTAGTTTTCAATTGTGGGACTTGTGCCACACTGTTATTTAATCGACCCATTGCTTTTGTATTGGTATTCACTGAAACTAGGAATGATAAATTAAAACCTTTGTATCAAAGTTTAAATTAAATCATGTATTTCAAATATATATCAGAAGATGTTGCAGTACCATCTGTGTTAAGAGGTCGTTCTCTTTCAATTGGTGGTAATAAATCCTGACATTCTTTATGATTTAATGGAAAAGTTTGTAGTAAGTTGTAAATACTTTGTCTGGATGCTTTTTGTAATTTTATTACAGCATCAGCTTGAACTATGGTTGATCCTTCTCTCTTGTACACAGTTAAAAAGCGATTTGTACCTTTACTGTTGGAGATAAACTTGTATTTATTTGATCTTATAATTAAATTAAAATGTATTACTTTTTGACTTACCCTCTACTTTTAGATTTTAACCCAAGTTCATATGCTAGTTTATGAATGTAGGCCCTTTCTTCTGCAGTGTACGAAGATGGAAATTCTAATTCCTTTTGGTCAGGACTTTCTAATAGTTTTTTCAGTGTTAAATTTACCGCAATTCTGGTGTCTTCCCCAATAAGGGGAGTTTTTTTATGGCGGTTTCGACGTGGCATTGTGTATATTTAATAAATATCACTGAAATACAGAATAAATATTTGATTTTTAACACCAATTCTTTTCTCAAACTTTTTTTTATATACCCAACAAAAAATTGAATATACTATATATGATAAAATGCAAAACATGAATTTAAAATTTACACTACATTATTATTTTGTTTTTATTTCGAATATTTGTTTGAAACAAAATCTAATCAATTTCACAAGATTTCAAAAGTAATGAATCACTCGTATTTTGGACAGAGTTCGATTTTGATAAAGTTAATACATTGTATACACTTGTGAATTCAACAGTTAAAACATGACAAAAAAAATTGCCCATTTATTTCATACTAAATCAATCACATGTATAGTCATTTAAATACTTTTTTCCATAAGTAACTTAAAGTATTCGAGAAAGATGCGAACGTTTTTATAAATGCAAATTTTGTTTAAACTCACGTAATTACAACGATAACCTTGTAAAAGTACATGAATCGTTCTAAGATGCTATATATTAATGGCTAATAATAAACTGTTATATATGGCTAATAATAATTATTATGGCTAATAATAAACTAATAATAAATGTTGTAACATTTGCAAATGTTTCAGAAAATTATTTTTAATAAAAATACACCACATCTGAACGACAACTGTAATAAACACAGACGAATAATATTTACGTCCTTTTCGATTATTAACTCCCTCTACTTGAACGAAAAGAACTATCTAAAATAATTTCTATCGATACAAACAACATTCTACTAGCTCTGCAGTCGAGTGACGTTTCGTAGTTACCAATACGAGCAAAATATCAACAAAGTTGTTCGCGCCAAACGACAGAGCGCGTTAATATCGTTTTTCACGAGAGATCCGCAAAACAGTGAAAGCAGGCACACGGCCAAATGCTGTTCCAGTAAACAATATGGCCGGTTTAGTTTGGTGCGCGGGTTATGTCGTCTCCATCGTGTTTTCCGAGTGTTTATTGTGCTACATCGAGGATTAGTGATTTTCGGTAAGTGTATATTTTATAAACAATACATCATCTTACGTAAAGAAATCGAATGAACACAATTTATGGCAAAGGACTTTGTACATGATGATTGACGATTACGAGTGTGCCTTTCCGTCAATTACTGTCTGACTGTGTTTGAAGATATCGGTGAAATCTTAACAAAGATGTTCGGTTCGTTTCTGCTAGCTCCACTTAAGTACTCGCTTATTGTATACGTTTCTAAACATGGGAAAGTATTCAACGACAAATAAAATACGAATTTTCGAAAACTTCAACACGAACACGAGCGACGGTTGAGATTTAAAGTTCCGCGACACAGACAATGTACCCGGAGTTTTCTTTCACCTTCGTATGTGAATAATATTAAACAGGCCAACCTTTCGCCGATCTCTTACGTTATTCGCGAACTTGGCCGAAGTTCCAGTTTCCGATTGGCACTCTTCCTATAAGTCTAACGATAAAGATTAAACTTCGTGACAACGTAAGCGAAGCAACAGGTTTTTTGCTGAGAAACTGCCGATGACCTGCCGTTTTAGCACTCACCGGTGCACTTGACGTCACTGATGTAATTGTTGCACACGCTTCTCGTTAACTCGTTTACGCACATCTGGAAAGTTAAATGAAACTTTCATGGAAAATGTAATTACAGCACGAAACATTTAATCGCAGAGAAACGAAATCTCGAGCGAACAATTAAACTGTACTAGACTTCACTTACTATCAACCGGTGTGCAACAGTTAAAGTGATTCTCTTGCGTATAATTACTTCTTAATACGCTAAACGTTAATTATCATGCGTTAATAATAAAGCGATATGTTATTTTTTTCATACGATGAGAAGTCAGTGAATTCTTCGAGAGTTTTATCTTTAATGCGGAACATTAATACATGATTTAAATGCGAATCAGGTTGTTGTTGTTTTCTTTTTTTTTTTTTTTTTCAACTAATTATCGTACCGAGTATTGTGTGATTTATCACTGTACAATTGGATTGTGCAGAAAATAGTAAATGATTTTATAACGAGAACTTCGTTATATCTGAAAGCATGGAACATCTCTAAAATTACACGCGCTTAAATGTTTAATAACGAACTAGCAGGAAAAGAATTCCTGTATCGTCGGTAAAGATGTATAACGATTAGATCTAAATTAACTGATACGAAATGATATAAAACGTCTAATATGTGTATAAAGTAAAGTCATTAGTCTTGAAATACTTTTTTATTATCAATTACACGGTACAGTTCTGATTACCATTATATCAATTTGTAAATCAGGATATGGAAACGTATTTAAAGATACGACAGCACAACAATGATCACAATGACCCTGTGATGTCAATAACGAAGAATGTAATCAAACTGTGCGTAAGTCTCTCGTGTGTCGTTTGCTCGTGTGTACCAGACGTTGTCTCAATCAGGGTCTAAATTTAAGGTTCGTTGAAAGTCACAGTAAGTAAATTACACAAGATATTTGTTCACGTGCATGTCAATAGAGCGCAAGTTATAAACAGGCAGGAACGATAATCATAATTAGAGTTACAAAATATTAAACGTCGTTCTTGTTTATCATCGCTACAACGCTTGCGGCTTCTAACCTCTTAAAATTCGCAATATTGCACGTGACTGTCTACAATTTGTGCGATTACATAACCGCCGTGAATGGAAGAAAACTATCAAACCGTGTAGAATATTACAAAACGTGTAATACATGATTCGTATTCGTGTAAATTACATTTACAATACGCATAATGCGTATTACATTACCCGCGTTTACGGTACGAAACGTGCATCGAAACGCCGCGATCTACATACTCGCAACGTATCGAAAACAACATTCGATGTTATTTTGTTTGCCCGCTGTTCACTTTTCTCGCTCAGTTCACGATAAACAGAATCTTTTCCATTGCATCACTATTCTTATTTCGAACGTAGTCGAAATTTGTCCGTAAATTGGTGCTTTGTTTTTTCCCCGCGCCTCGTATGTTTAATTCATCCAAAAACCGCCAGAGGGAGGAACCGCCACCCAGTGAGAAAGAACGAAACAAGAAGCGAGAAGCGAAATAGAGCGAAACAGAAAAAAGAACAACATATAACGACAGACTAGTGGGGAGAGTAGAGAGAAGAGAAAGAGAAAGAAGACGTTTGAAGCTTTTTTTTTTTTAAGGAAAGTTCGCACGTTTGTTAGTCGTATTCGCGAGAGTCCGCGTTCATTGTCGTTCATTCAGGAATTACGTAAGTTAACATCGCATCTGCTCGTTACGCTTGTCTACCAGTTAATGCTCGGGCAAACGCTAAAGATTCCCATTGATTGAGGCCTGAAAAGGTGGCGCGGCAAACTGCTCGGCCGACCAACAACCGTCGTCGGTTAAGTAAACGTCGGATCAAACAAACTGATAAATACGCGAATGGACGATCCAATTCGCCGTGGTGCGCGCGCGTGCACGTCTAATTGACCACCTATATGCTATCTTTCGCGTCGCTTCGTCCATGGTGGCCGCGCCTCATTGTGATTCAGTTGATTCGCGATTGATTGATCGATGAAGAACAGAATGAATATGTATCTAGTTCTTTTTTTTTTTTTCTTTCTACCGTTTCAATGTCGACAACAAATCGATCCGGTTTGGTATTGAATAGGTAATTTGAATTGTATCTCTGCCGGGGTAATAATTCGATCGAAAACGTGTTTCTTGCTCGGCTTTTTAATTGCCTCGAAATTAACCGTTCACGAGACTTAATTAACCTTGCCGCTTCGTTTAGTCTTGTTTGGTCGGGACTGATTTTCATTTACTCTCGTAGACTTGCAAGTTTGTTTATAAACATTGTGTTTTTGCTGTTATTGACGCATAGAGGGAAAATATTTTATTATTACAGTAGTAAAATTACTTTTACTGGAGATTTTAGTTAAAATCTTTCGAAATATCGTTATTCGTATTAAATGAAAGGTTATGTTTGAATTCGCCGTAGAATAATTTCATAATTCACGAAGTATATACGTATTACGAAATATATACGGTCGAGCGAGGCTTTTTCAAATTTACAAGTAACAGTGCATTGCACTTTACCATCGAACACAGATCACGTAGAACTTCTTCTCATCGAATACACTTAATTTTACTTAACATTCCACCTGCACCGTATGCAAATATACGTATAGACAAATATGCGTGGACATGTAATCACGGTAAATTAACGTTATTCGTATCAGTCCATCATACAAATGAAACTCGCTTAAAAATTCACACGTCTCGGAACTTCATAATTAAACGAGAGAATGGCTCTTCGAATTATCATCAGATAAATCCAACTTAACGTATCGAAGACTGAATAAATTTTGCAAATTCTATTGTGATCCTTCTTAAAAGTAACTTTTTCTCTTCTAACAAATACAATACCCAATTATCTCATTCTGAATGCGTTACCAGCAACAATAATGGTCAAGTTTACAAACATTTCACGCAACACGTGTTACTATTGTAAAAACTCGCGAGCAATTTTCCTATAATGTTTATACTTCGAAAAAACAACACGTTTCGTCTCGCGTTTGGAATTTCAGCATTCCCATTCTCCCGGGGTACACTCGAAGCTGATCCTTTCTCCTACGAAGTTCGCGTCGATCGACCTTGGATTCGGTAACGTCACGTGCGTTTTCACTTGTTCCAACGTACACAGTATGTTCCCGCGTTATGTAAATCTCGTCATATTTCTCGATGCTTCGTAGGACTTACGGCTATTACCTTTACATTTCTCCTGAGTCATGCGCGTGTTCAGTGTGTCCTACTCCCGTACATTCTTCGTCTATCATCATCTGTAACGTTACTAACGATAAAACAGTCTCAATATGGATCGTCATCTATGTCAAGCATCCAGGAGCAGAATCTTCGGAATATTCATTTTGAAATACCTACGCGTTTAATTCTCATCTTTTGCTACATTCAATTCACCGCTATCAAGATTAGAAACAAAAGTAGCACGTAATAAAATTTTATCGAATATATTATAGGTTATGTGCCATGTGCGCCATCGATGATCTACGATGCATATCAAAGGCAAATTTTTATTAATCAAAGAAACTTGTCCTTCCATTCAATTCTCGTGCAAGAGGAGTTTAATGGAAAAATAAAGA